CTCCTTCCCCAGTCTCTCTTTAGGTGTCTCCAGCCCGCTCTGCCCCCGCCTTTGCTAAAGCCCAGGTAAGTGGCTACAAATAAAAATTTACGCATTGTCCCTTTAAATAGCTCTTTGCATCTCCAGCCGCCTGTCTCTGGCAGAGACCAACCCTGCTGCTTTTTGCAGCTGGCTCTATTCTGTGTACTTTTTGGACTCTAGTGCTGTAGTCTGGAGATCCAGGGTTATGGTTTAGACCCTGCTGTTCTCAGGGGAATCCATCTTGCCATTTCACTATCCTTGTGGTGTTGCCACCCATTGATACCCTGCCCACCTTCTCAGGTCTCTACTGCACTCCTTACCCATTAGATTGTACTAAAGCCGATTCTTCTGTTTCTGAGGTTACAAGGCTCCTCTCTTGCCATATTGTTTAGTTGTTTGTTCCCGGTGATTTCTCCACAATTTAGTTGCAATTCCAGCTGAGTCCTGGGAGGAGGTCAGTGTGTCTTCTACTCAATTCTCCACCATCTTCATTCTCCTCTATTAATAATTTTTGTATCATGTATTAGAATTAATAAAGATAGCAGTCTTATTTTACTCTTGACATCATGGGAGTTCTCTATGCTCTTTATTATTTAAGTTGTTAGTAAAACAAAGCATCTTTCAATGGTATAAGATTTCTAAATTGGTTTTTGTTTGCACTTGGTTCAGAATTCTAAGTTTGAAGTGCACTTGTGTGTCTTGTATTTATTAACATCACAAATATTGTGATTCAACATATTTTGGGAGCTATTAATATCTACTTAAGTCCATAGCTTGAATAACAATGATAAGTTTTCCAGTGCAAATGGTAGTGCACATTTATTCCTTTCTATTATATTACACAGCTTCATTTTTATCTGAACCATTAGGTACCTATATGAGTAATAGATACCATACCAACAGGATTTCATTTATTTTCTTGTATAATTATCCTCATTTGATAACAAAATGAGTTCTCCATTATACCTTGAATTTGACACTGATTTCCATCACCAATACCCTAAAAACGTGTGTTTGACACTAACTCTATTACCACAGTGATAACTCAAGGACATATCTGTCTTCTTTCTCTTGAACTCCTGAAATTTTTTTTTTGCTTCCATTCATAGCCCCTTATTCATTTTTCATCAGAAACAGTGATTTTTGTAAACTTGAATAATACCAAGGTACTCCTCCACTTATAACACTCTGGTGGTGTCTTGTCACAGAATATGGTCCATTCCTGTAGCTGTCTCCCCTCTGGTTTCTGGGTCTTGGTTCTCATTTGCACCAGTTCGCTCAGCAGTCCATTTTGACCAGGCCAGGTTCTCTTGTGTTGCTCAATGCCCCTTTTTCCTGGGAACTCTGTGCTAGGTACATGTGGCTCCATTGGTCATTGCAATTGCCTTTGTCATTTCCTCACCTGGCCTCCTCACCCCTCATCTTTGTGTCTGTGATTGTCTGCTTTTGTGGTCTTTCTTTTCTATTGTTTCTCCCTCATCACTACAACATATAAGTTCTGCAAGAGCAGTCGGCTTCCCTGTTCTGTCTCTTGCACCTGGGACAGTATCCACTTTGTAGTATGTTCTTTCAAATAATATGTCATAAAAATGCTTGCCTACAATGGAATGGGGGACTTCTGATAAAAGACTACTAGGAAAATTACAACATTAATCCCCTTTCCTCTTCAGCCATCAACAGGAGATTCAGAGATTAAAAACAAGCTAGACGAAGGTCTGTGATGCCTCAGTTTCAGAGGTTACCCCTTCTCAAATAGAGTTTAGAGCATCACACAGAATGGGACATAAAACTAAAACAAAAATAAATAAAATATAAAACAACAACAAAACACTGTATCACTCTATCCTTGAGCAAGCATGAATTCTTTCATTCTCTCCATCCTTTGGCTCAGGTTGCTTCCTTGGCACTGATTTTCTCTCACAGACCATGTCTGACCATCAGTAGATGTTGGCAGGTGTGTCCTCAAAATATGTCCCAAATCCAAGCAGTTCTCCATATCCTTACTGATACTCCCAGGTCCAAAGCCTACTAACCCACCTCTGAATTTTTGCAAGAGTCCCACAGGTATCATTGCTTCCACTCTTGCTCCTTGTTAATATACTCTTTTCCCCTTAGTGACCCCAATTATTTATTTAGCGCCTAAGTCAATGTCACTTCTCTGCTCGCTATGCTCCAGGTCTTCTCCTCTCATTTGGAGCAAAAGCCAGCCCTGCCTTGTCTGCATTCTGCCCCTTGCTGACGCCTGTCTTAAGGTTGCCCCATTCTGCCCATGTTGCACATCACACTCCCAGTGTGTCCACACTACCTCTCCTTCCTGGAACACGCTGCCCACTCCCTTTCCAAGTGGTTTCCTTCCTCATTTTCTCAATATATAAAGAATATTTACCATCAAACTGTCAGTGTGGACATGTTCTAGAATCTGTGTTAAAAAATAATGATAACCTTGTTTTAGATGTGCAAATCCAGTTTATAATTTAAGACAATGGATCCATGAGTCAGAATGTTTGGGTTGAAAAACCAGCAATGCCACTCTGATTTTTCTCCAAATTCTTCTAAATCTCAACTTCTTTCATTATAAACTTGGTATAAATACCCATGTCATTGGGCAACTGTGAGGGTTAAATAAGACGCTGTGAAATGCTTACCTGGCTCATAGTAATAATGTTACTGAGCAAGACAGGACTCGGCCACCTGGTGCCTTTACATATGACCCAACAATTAGTGTTGAAGGAACCAGGTTTTTATTAACAGGGTTCCAACCTCAGGGTGGGGGAGCTAAGAGAACTTCTGCTCAGAGCCCCCCTCTCCCTGCAAGGCGCAGAGCCTCCCTCGCTTCCCAAAAGACTACAAGCCAAAACCATGCCCTGAAATTCCTCATATCCTTCTCTGTCTTTAAGCTAGTCATGCAAACAGACCTCCATCCCCTCTGAAATGTGTATTTGTGGGTTTCAGTGTTGCCACCCTCTTGCAGCAGCTCTCTCCTTCAAGATCTGCAGTGCATTGTACTCAGCCTTCATATACTGATCCAGGAAAACATGTACCCTTTTACACTGGGTGATGGTAGGGTCCAGGGAGGCACACATCCTAAGAAAGTGACTTCTCTGTATGTCCTTCAGAGAAACAGAAGTCTGCAACTTAGCATTCCTCGGCACAGTTCAACTCCAAGCATCCCTCACAAGTCTGGGTGGCTAGGCAGGTCCTCTCAGCTCCATCAGCTCTGCTGCCATCTTCTCCAGGCAGACCTCTACCTGCCCACCTTGTGGCTCTCTCTGACTTTCAGAACCCCCAGTGCATCTCTTCTTTCACACCAGATATAGTGACTTGCTCTCTTCTCTTTTGGATCCCCATAATTTAAATGCTTGGCCCGGAACTTCCTGTGTGATCTCATCTCCAGCCCTTCCTGTGGTGTCATAGTGCCCAACTTTTTGCCAGTACCCCAGTATGTTTTATCTCCTTTGGGCTGCCATCTTTACTCAGGGCAAAAATTCCCAACAACACATGGGCATCTACTGTGGACATCTGCCCCATGCCTCTCACACAGGTGCAGTATTAGCTCCTCCCACAATCTCCCTCCAGTGTGTTCTTAGAGTATGTATACAATTTGCCCTTGGCTGGGCAGCAGGCAGCCCTCTCCCCTTTAGGAAAGCATAGCTATTAACTTGCCATTGTTATGCAGTGTATCTTAAATGCCATACTGCCATCCTATCCACTTTTCCCTTCCCCCAACAAGGACTGGGGGGTTACACTCTGCATGCTGTTAAAATAATGCTAATGTCATTATTGTTATTTTAGCATGATTTCTGTCTGACATTTGTAATTATCTGGACATAGTTACAATCAGGTTAAAAATGTAACTTACATATAATTTTTCCACTTGAAAATATATCTTAACTATTTTTCTATGCTGCTAAATGCTTTAAAAAGACAAAACTGATTTTGAGTTCATAGTGTGACATGCAGTGGAGATACTATAATTTGACAATTATTCCATTATTATAAATTGGTTACCTTCCAATTCTCCTTTATGATTGATTACATTGCATTACACATTCACTTGAATATTACGCTTGCCAACATGTATTATGATAGGTCCTTAGTGAGAATTCATGGATTCATGGCTGTAAGATTGGTTGAATTATGAATTTATGGTTGAAGGGCTTTGAAATTTATTTATGCTTCTCATGCAAATTACTGATTTTTTTCACAAAAAAGTGATATGAATTGATACTACCACAATGTAAGACATATATGTATATTTATTTCATTCATATTCTATGTAGAAAAATGTAAAAAGAACTGAGAAAGAGAAATACCTAATTAAAGTTAAATAAATCAAGAGCATGAAGACAAACTAATTAAATAAATAATGTTTAAGCTACTTATTTAGCTTTATTTAATTGCTAGATATTTATATTAAAAAAGCTATTCACTCACATTGCTTATTTTAACTAAAATGAATTAAGTGTATAATAAGAAAACAGTAGAACTCAGAGACTATAATTAGTTGATCTTTTCTTTAAAAACTCAGAAATAACTGTGTCTGAAGAACTGGTGATCATAGATGCACAAGACTTTGTTTGGAAATGATATGTAGGCATACAATGCTGTGTCTTTAAGAGAAACTACACCTAGAAAGAAATTGAGATCTTTAATTTCAGTTCAAAACTACTGCAGCTGTCTGATCATTAAGCAAAGTGGTCTTCCTGTAGTTGTTCAGGAAGCTAAATACATGCTGGGTCTAATGACCCACTGCTCCTTCTCACTTACGGGACTCAGGTTCAGGGACCTCCTCACTTAGAGCCTTGGCCAAAGAATACTATACTGCTGAGAATTAAATGACTCCAGTGTAGTGAAATTTAGCTATAATAATATAATTTATTTTCTATTTAATATTTTACTCACCAAACAGATAAAAATCTTTAGTAAGTCAGACTATATGTAATGAAGCCATGCCAATTATTCTTTTCTCTAAATTTCAGTATAAAGAATGTAACTCCAAAAGTAGGGGAACCTGAAACTCGTAAAGCAATTCGACGAGCCTTTGATGTGTGGCAGAATGTGACTCCTCTGACATTCGAAGAAGTGCCCTACAGTGAATTAGAAAATGGCAAACGAGACGTGGATATAACCATCATTTTTGCTTCTGGTTTCCATGGAGACAGCTCTCCTTTTGATGGAGAGGGAGGGTTTTTGGCACATGCCTACTTCCCAGGACCAGGAATTGGGGGAGACACTCATTTTGACTCTGATGAGCCATGGACACTAGGAAATCCAAATCATGATGGTAAGTGCATCATTCTTCTCATAGTAAATAGTTCTTCTCTTTTTATTTTATTTTTAGAATGCTCAAGTAATTCACAAACTTAAGGTATTGATTCTAAATTTGTTTTTAAAATTATAAAACAATACATGAGACTTTTAATGATCTTTTAGAATAAGAATTTGTTTGGGTCATTAGATAATAATGGTTTTCATGTGGTCCTTTGATTAAAGATGAGTTTTATCTTTTTTACAGTGTCACTTAAAATATTTTTTATCCTCACCCAAGGACATTTCTAAATTGCTTTTTGAGAGAGTAGAAGGGAGAGAAGGGAGAGAGAGAAACATTGATGCGAAAGAAAAGCATTGTTTGGTTGACTCCTGTATGCACCTAGACCAAGGATCAAACCTGCAACCCAGGCATATCATCCCTAACCAGGAAACAAACCCACAATCCTTCGGGTATGGGACAGCACTCCAACCAACTGAGCCACATGGGCCAAGGCACACTTAAAATATTTAATAGAATTTAAGTCAAGGGGTATACATTAAGCAAATATTGTTTCTCTTTTTTACACTTTCTTCCAGTGTTTCCACTTGAAACTTAACCTTGGTTGACCATTTTTGATGTGGCTTCTACTGTACCTTTTCTGTTATTTTTTGTTTCTATCAATACTTTTCTACTTTGTAATATTTTGCCCCTTTTCTTTGTCTCTTATCCATTTCCTTGGTCTCCCAATCTAATGCAACTACAAAATTTATTATTTTGTATTATATTCTTCTTTATTTTTATCAAAACCACTTTCTTGCCAATATGTGTTGACACATCTGTTAGTTTTCTAATCTTATAATTATTTTCACAGGCAAAAACAATGTAAATATAAAATTAAAAAAACTCAATAACTAAAAGAATAGTTACTTGAAATAAGAGGCATATGTTTCTTCTTAGACAATAAACCATATTTCAATTTTATGTTTAAAAAAATTCAGAGAATTATAGGATCCTGAAATTATAAGTTCCCAAACCAGCCATCTCCCCAGTCCTTGCAATCAAGACAAATATTTTTCTTTCTCACCATATAGTAAAATGTTGTTGAAAACACAAGTGTGCATTGTTTAAAGGACAACTGTACAGATAACACTCTTAATTCCTCCTTGCTGAGTTAAGCCTAACCATCAAATTAAGCTTTGTTAGTTTATTAGATAGCTTAGTTAGCTGGATTAGTGTTAATAGCTATGCATTTTTAGAATATGCAGTATTCAGACACTAAATAGAATGAACTAGGTTTAATTACACTTAAAATAACATCAAATTTTAAAGAAAGAAAATGCAGTAACTGTATTTTACAAAAAATATCTAGCATTAAACAAAATGCTGTTTTAAATTGTCAATAAGTATTGGCTATAATATTAAATTATGGTTTAATTTTTAAGAACTGGTTTGGAAACTAATGAAAAATATGTTGGGAGATTTCACTGCTGTGGAATGAAAAACAAAATCTTGAGTCAGACAGCCGCTACATTCAATCTCTGGCTAACTGACCACGGACTCAGGAAGCCTCTCCTAAGCTGTGCATTGGTTTTGTCTCTGTGTCTTGTGTTGCAGAGCTGGGACTTTGTAAGTAGAAGCCTTTCCTATTCAGGCCTGTGTAACCTGCTCTACCTGAGCAGCTAATACTGAAATGTCCACAACAGAGGAGCTGGCCCATACTAGTTTGATGCGTAAATCAATTAAAATAAAATAGGTTTACCTAATTTTTATCAAAGCCCCACAGGCATTTTAATGAAGTAGTTCAAATATCTTCAATTGTTAAATGTATTTTAAAGAATGGAAGGAATGTTTGCATTCTAAATGACTGAGAAAAACAACATGTATATTAAAATTTTCCTGAGACAGTCAAAATTGCACATGACTCTGAGGGAAGGATTTTCTTTTAAAATTCTGAACAAAGAAATCTGTGCTTCATTCTAATAATGGATGTAAGTGTTACAGCTTTGAAATTCTGTTAATTTGGCTTTGTGGCCTCATAAATATAAAATTATTTTAAAATCATCTGTGAAGGAGATGATGCTCATCAGAGGCCTATATTTTCTCTTAAAATGTTGAAATCCCCAAGAAAGCTGCAGAAATCCTTTAGAATCCCTTCTTAGTGGTTTTCTTAGGTATTAACTAATATTTTTTAAAATAAGAAGTTTTAAGAAAAAATCTATAAGGGCATTTGAGATGATATAGAAAATGATAATATACTGATTTGGATGGGATCAGTGTTATGAGTGCATATATGTTTTCTATGATATAAGAAGTTTTCCAAGGGATATACATGTGGAAAGAATTCTAAAATGAAAAAGATTCTGAAAGACATAACTAAAGGTGTCCAGTGAAGCCAATGGACTATTGGCTCAGATTATGTATTAACACATTTGATTGTCTCTTAACTTTTACTGTACAAGTATACTAATTTTTGTAAGTAGGCCTATTACTAAAAACCTAAACAAAACAATTATTTAATATTTAGTGTGGAATTTTGAGGAAAATATTTTTTTTACTGGTCAAATGGTACTTTTTTTTCTTTTGAGTGAGTTTAAGGAAATGACTGCAAAATAATACTGCTTCACATTTGCAGGGGATTAGGGAGCAGTTAACTGACTGTTCAAGATGCAATGCCATAAAAATTGACTGCTTAGTTGAAATTCCAGCCTTTAGCAACAGCAGGGCAGGTAGGGTAATGTCCTGAAGAGTATTGATCATTTATCAAAAAAACAACCTCTGGCTTTTCTTGGGTGCTGCTGAATGTGGGAAGAATTAGTGTGTCTGTCCACCCTAGATCCTAACTGTAAGATTGTCTTTATATCACAAATACACAAAGCACAATTCTTACATCTTTACTGATAAACTTTTTTTTTTAATCTAGTATTTGAATGCCCCTTGGTTTACTTACCTGAAACATTTTCTTTCTCTCCTATCCATTGCTCTTAAGCACCTAGGAAACAGAGCAGCCTGATAATTTAGCAGAAATACAAATGAAAGAGGTTCTTGATAAGTACCCAGCTCATTTTCCACAGCATATTGCTCAGCTAATGAAGGCAATTTGAATTCTACCTACCTCAAGTGAGATAAACATTGCCCTAGGCTGCCAATAACCTTTAATTCATTATTATACACCTTATCATCAATTTGCTCAGTCATGATAACTTTTGAAAACTCAACCTAAAGCCCATTAAGTAAATTACACAATAATTTCATTAAAATAAATAAACACATGCACATACACACCTCCACTAAAAATGCCTTTTTTAAAGAGGTTTATTCTTTTTTTAACTTTTTATGGAGTGGATAAGTAAAATGTACATAGTAATCTTAATGGAAAATGTTACTGTGATACGGTTTTTGAAAAGTATACCTTAACTGAATGTGAGTTAGAAAATGTAACTCTAGCAAAATGTTAAGATTAATTCAGAGTGTCATTAGATTGTTTCATTGGCAACAGTATAAATTTTAAATGGCACTATCAGTGTAAACACAGACTTGTCACAAAGACTTTTTCTAATTAGGCAAGTATCTGTTACAGTTCTAGGATTTCAAACGAATAATCTCTAAGCAAAAAATATTATATTTTCTCATTATATTAACGTGTCATTATTGGAAACTTTGTCAAAACCCAATGGATCATTGGGAATATTCCCAGTAGTGGAATTACTGGGTAATAAGACAGTTTCATTTTTAATTTTTTGAGGAAACTCTATCCTGTCTTCCATAGAGGGCTGCAGCATTCTAAGAATCCTGAAACACCAATTAGAAAGAATATATTCACCCTATGTTCATAGCAGCATTATTTGCAATAGCCAAGTTCTGGAAACAGCCCAAGTGCCCATCAGCAGATGAGTGGATAAAAAGCTGTGATACATTTATACAATGGAATACTATGTGACTATAAAAAAAAAAAAAAAAGAAGGAACTCTTATTCTTTGGAACAGCACAGACGGACCTGGAGATTATTATGCTAAGCAAAATGAGCCAGCCATAGAAAGACAAATACCATATGATCTCATTTTATATGTGGAATCTAATGCATAAAATAAACTGATGAATAAAATAGAACCAGAGGCATGGATGCATGGAACAAGACTGACAGATGTCTGAGGGAAGGGGAATGGTGGGGGAACTGGAAAAAAGAAGCTGAAGATATTAGACAAAGAATATAAATGCATAGCCCATGGACACAGACAATGCTGTGGTGAAGGCCAGGGGAAGGGATGTGCATGGATGGGTGGAGGTAGGCAAAGAGGGAGAAATTGGGATACATCGGTAATAGTGTAAACAATAAAAAAACCCATAATGGATTGTGTATGAATGGATCTATCTAGTTAGTTCAGCATTGTGATAGCAACCTGTCTAAAAACCGGGGAGAGAAATGATCAAAATTTCATCTGAGACATCAAAGCCCTTAAATCTGTTACCTCAATGTGATGGTTAAGTTTATGTCAACTTTACAGGACTAAAGGGTGCCCAAGTACCTGATAAAGATCTCTGGCTGTGTCTGTGCAGGCATCTCAGAAAGAGATTTGCATTTGAAGCAGTAGGCTGAGTAAAGATGATTGACTGTTTCCAATGAGCCAACCCGTTGGGGGCCCAGATAGAACACAAGAGAAAGAACAGGAGCATCATCTCTCTCCTTGTGCTGAGATATTGATCTTTGTCCAGCACTGACACCAACTGCCCCTCCAGCTCCCAGGCCTTCAGACAAGGACTGAATTATACCCCTGGCTCTCATGATTCTCCATCTTACCAACAGCAGATTTGGGGATTTCTCAACCTCCATAATTCTGTGAGCTAATTTCTATAGTACATCTGCTCTTTTATATCTCTCTGTATATCCTATCAGTTGTGTTTCTCTGGAGAATCCTAATACAGTTATTAAACATGAATGGTCAAATTCTACATCCAAGCCCACATATTCTTTGAATGAACCTAGATGAATATTCTCATGATGTGATGCTTGAGACAATGAACATGATTTATGCAGA